AAAATATTGATTAAGTTGATTAATGTTTATTTGTGTTGTTTGCAAGCAAGCAACGTAAATCTACTTTAATGTTTGCACAAATTTTGCCTTTGCATTACTTCTTAGGTCTGCTTTAACAGAATGAAATAGATACTATTTGTACGATTTATACAAGTGCAAGAAGATTCATCAGTTAACAGGTTAGTTGATCACCATAGTTATCTGCAATACGACTTTAGCGTCGTCAGATAGGCGACTAACCTTAGAATCTCATGCTAGTATCTATTCATATATACTGCTTGCAGAGATGAAATATGCATTGTACACAAAATTTATCATGTGAAACAAGTAGATTTGAGATTCTCCTTACTAAATTGCAACGAATTGATGTTTTATTCCTTATAAAACATCAAGATTCATGCATATAAATATACAATCCTCTCAAAACAATGCATATATGGTAGTATGCAAGTGTTTTGTTGATTATTTTACATCTCAACTCTCAGACAGATGTGACCTCGGAAAAGACCCGAAAGCCGCAATGTGCGTTGGAAGCTCAAGTGCTCGGCGTGTCCTGCAATTCGCACCGATTATCGTAGCTAGCTACGTTCTTCATCGATTGGTAATTCGAGTGATCCACCGCTTGAAGATGTATCTTTGCCACCGTGGGACTTTTAATAAGTATCCTAAATCTGCATTGAGAGGGTTTGAAAACAATTGTATGCAGTTTATAAAAACCATAGTTGTCTTTACTTAGTTAGGCGAAGAAGTGTAAAACTTCCTTCTTTAAACCTTGCCGTCAGCATAAGCTGAAGACTTGATCAGGTACCAAGTATGTAGCAAGACAGGCTTTTCATTATAAACTACAATTGTTTTGCAAAAGAAATTATGGCTATCGTTAGATAACCCTCACTCTTTGTTGCATTGGATAATGAAAGATGGATGTATGAATGAACGAATGTAATGCAAATTAGAATCATGTTGCAATGGCTAAATGTTTGCAATAAACATTCACAATTGCGACTCTAATGCAAATACAATTCAATTGCATTCACCATATTAGCATCTACAATATCACTATGCAGAGTGTTTGATTGTTTGAAGGTTGTATTTCTCTTATAATAAGAGGGTAATACGTTAATGATCCTTCCGCAGGTTCACCTACGGAAACCTTGTTACGACTTTTACTTCCTCTAAATGATCAAGTTTGAACATCTTCCAGCACAATCCGACCACTAGTTTCCCAATGGTCTGGATTGACCAGTCCGAAGTCCTCACTAAATCATTCAATCGGTAGTAGCGACGGGCGGTGTGTACAAAGGGCAGGGACGTAATCAACGCAAGCTAATGACTCACGCTTACTGGGAATTCCTCGTTCATGGGCAATAATTACAATGCCCAATCCCCATCACGAAATGGGTTCAAGCGGTTACCCACTCCTTTCGGAGCAGGAAACAGTATGCACGATGACCACTTCAGTGTAGCACGCGTGCGGCCCCGGACATCTAAGGGCATCACAGACCTGTTATTGCTCTGTTTCGTGCGGCTGCGAGCGCCGCTTGTCCCTCTAAGAAGTCCTTACAGTGCTACAGCATCCTTACCCTAGCCAATTCTGTAGGCTAATAGCAGCAGAGCCCTCAACAGCCGAAACCATCAAGAGATACTACCACCCACAGGTTGACTAAGGGGGAGTACTGCAGTGTAAACTGCAAGTCTATTTAGTAGGCTAGAGTCTCGTTCGTTATCGGAATTAACCAGACAAATCACTCCACCAACTAAGAACGGCCATGCACCACCACCCACTGAATCAAGAAAGAGCTCTCAATCTGTCAATCCTCTCAGTGTCCGGGCCGGGTGAGTTTTCCCGTGTTGAGTCAAATTAAGCCGCAAGCTCCACTCCTGGTGGTGCCCTTCCGTCAATTCCTTTAAGTTTCAGCTTTGCAACCATACTTCCCCCGGAACCCAAAAACTTTGGTTTCCCGGAAGCTTCCATTCGAGTCATGAAATTAGTTACTCAGAATGATCGCTGGTTGGCATCGTTTATGGTTAGAACTAGGGCGGTATCTGATCGCCTTCGAACCTCTAACTTTCGTTCTTGATTAATGAAAACATTCTTGGCAAATGCTTTCGCTGTAGTTTGTCTTGCGACGGTCCAAGAATTTCACCTCTAGCGCCGCAATACAAATGCCCCCGTCTGTCCCTCTTAATCATTACCTTGGATTCTTAAGACCAACAAAATAGAACCAAGGTCCTATTCCATTATTCCATGCAAGATCATTCAAGTTAAGGTAGTGGTACGCATCATATAGATGGTTGACCATACCGTTTTTAGGCACCTCTTTCGAGGTTTTGGACGCCTGCTTTGAGCACTCTGATTTTTTCAAGGTAAAAGTCTCGATCGCTTGAATCAACACTCGGTAAAGAGCATTGATAGCAAATATCGAGCAATTTTCTGTCTAAACACTATGAATGTAACCACCAGGAAAGAGGAATGAAGGTTCAAGCAAGCATCCGTAGACACAAGCAAGAAACCTAACATCACCATCTAACCCTTTAATCAGTGGACCCCATAGGTTCGACTGAAATCCAACTACGAGCTTTTTAACCGCAGCAACTTTAATATACGCTATTGGAGCTGGAATTACCGCGGCTGCTGGCACCAGACTTGCCCTCCAATAGATCCTCGTTAAAGGATTTAAATTGTACTCATTCCAATTACGGGGCCTCAATAGAGTCCCGTATTGTTTTTTTCGTCACTACATCCCCGTACTGGGATTGTGTAATTTGCGCGCCTGCTGCCTTCCTTAGATGTGGTAGCCGTTTCTCAGGCTCCCTCTCCGGAATCGAACCCTAATTCCCCGTTACCCGTTACAACCATGGTAGGCGCATAACCTACCATCGACAGTTGATAAGGCAGTTGCTTGTTATTATTGCGTCATTTCCTTGAAATTTCGTCATTTTAGGGGAAATTCTGCTCAAATTAGAAATGCAACCGAAGTTGCTAAGATCCCCACTGCTAGTCCTTAGACAGCGACCGAAATCACTGAACAGGGTTCTAGGTGAATAAGAATCATTGGTCTTGTACTAATAAATGCGATCCTTCCGTCAGCAAGCTGAGGTTGGAACACTTGTTCATGTATTAGCTCTAGAATTACCACAGTTATCCATGTAAAAAAGAATATCCGAGGAACCGTAACTGATTTAATGAGCCATTCGCGGTTTCACTTTATAAACAGTATGTACTTAGACATGCATGGCTTAATCTTGAGACAAGCATATGACTACTGGCAGGATCAACCAGGTAACTTGATGTTTTAGCAAAGTAAAATGCTAAACAAGTTGTTTTTGCAGCTATAAATACGATATCCTCAGCTAACAACCAGCAAGTGGATGCTAACTTTAACGAGGTATCGAGATTTATGTCGTGCATTAAGATAATTCTGCAGAAAGCTCTTTAGAATCCATCTTCTTCCACTAAAATGTGCAAGCACATCTAGCAGGAGTAACCATTGCTGGGTACGTTTGCAAGTCAACTAAACAGCATAGTATTATAACCGCTTGATACCAATTTCTTGGATCAATCTGCGGTCTGCTTTGCACAAGCAGAGCTCAATACTAATACTGCTCACTCTGTTGAGTGACTAGTTTGAACATATATGCAAGATATGAAGTCTGATAGCATTAAAGCCCAACTCTCATAGATATTGTCAGTCGTACCAAGGAAGACCTTAGGTCTTGCAGGTACTCTACCTTTGTATAATAGTGTGTGGTGATAAGATGATTGACGATCCAAACCCATTCAGGCCCGTCTCTTCAACCACCAAACATCAACAGAATAACAGGAATAGATGCGTGAACAGCTACAGTCTGGACCATACCACTGCTTGATGCATTGACTTATCCATAACCGTAGACAATCACTTACCTCCCCATCAACTACTGATGGTGCTCTCTCAATTCAGCAACTACACTCACCACATATTGTTGGTTGTATACGCACTCCGGACCCAATTTTTCGAAATTCTCGATGAAAGAAACCCCCTAAACCCAGTTTGAACCCAACTCAAGTCCATTTTCCGATCCTTATAAAAACTCACTCCCTGCCTATTACGTAACAACGTTCTGTTATAACTTCTTAATCTAACATATTAGACTACCCTAAGCTATGCTATCAAATGATCCTCTCAACAAACCCTTTCGATTGACATATGACTCATAGGAATCGGACCGATTCGGTTTTCCCATAGACTTAACATGGTACGGCCATTCAACTTCGAACCCTTATAACTTCTTTCATGTTCTCTTTAGACCCCTTATGCTTTGAGCATTATTGCTACACTAATTAAGCTCTCTCTAATGATATATCAAACATAGTGATCAGACAAACTTGACTTTGACCGGTCTACCGAGGTCAACTCAGAACATTTCGACCATCGCTAGCTCCTAAACCATAAGAGCTGACCTACCCCTTGCCAGCATGTAATATGCTTAGATTTTGATGCTCTATCGAATGATATATCGCAATCGAGAATCGGACTAACTTTTGTCCCATGCTCGATCCCATAGAGAGATGATTTTTCATCAAGCTCCGCCCCCTGAAAAATAGGTTTTTTGGGAATAACTTCTGAAGGACTGAATCGATTCCCGATTGCAATACATAGTTAGAAAGCTTATTAGAAGGCCTTTCTGGCCATATATCAGCTGTCAAAATCGGTGGCCTATTCACAGGCCGGTTCCCGAAAAACCGATTTTGACGAAACCTTCAGTAACCATAAATGGAGTCATTTTGAGGTACCTACCAGGGCCTAAACTATAACAGATACACATGCACACGATATACCATCTTAAAGCCCATATCCTGAAGTAGTTTATTCACTCATAAAACCTCATTAAAACATTGACCTGAACTGGCCGTACCCGAACAACCGAAAATTAGCTTAACATGGGATTTCCCATAGGGAAATCCAAACTTTAATAACTTTGTCCCTATTCATCCTAGAGTTATGAAAACACTTTTAAAA